CTAGTTGAGTTTGAACCATAGAAGCATGTTTTCCAAGACCTCTAACATCATTTGATATTCTAAATAACAAGTCACTCAAGCGAGCAATCATATCAGAACTATATTTCAATTGTTTCATAATATTTGCATTGAAGTGATCTTGTTTTCTAATGTAGTTTTCAAAATCATAAAGGCGTTGACTAGGATGCACGTTGTGAGGATTATTATTATCATTGAACTTCATAAGAGAATTTACCTCTACCACCTTAGGCATTGGTGGTGTATTAAGCCCATGTATTTCTTCAATAGGAGGTAAATTTTTAACATCCTCGGCTTTAATACCTTTTTCCTTCATAGATTTCTTTGCCTCTTGCATATCTTTAGGACTGAGATATAATATACCCCTCTTCTTCGGAGTGGGTTTAGGCGGTGGTTCGGGAATAGTCCAATCATCATAATTTTTAATATGTTATTCAATAATTCTTCAGCTTGAGCAATAGTTCATTCCCTGAAAACACAACCAGCACAACTATCTAGGATGTCCCTAAAAGCATCGGTTAGTCCATTATAGAAGATATCAAGTATTTCATTTTTATTAAGAGGATGATCAGGCAAAGCATTAAGTAACTGGCAAAGCCTCCCCCAAGCTTGTGGGAGACTCTCTTCTTTAGTTTGCACAAAGTTAAATATTTCCTATAAGGCAGCTTGTTTCATATGAGCGGGAAAATATTTTTTTCAGAGAAGTAATAAATCATATCCTGGGACTACGCACACAACGAGGAGCAAGAGTATTGTACCAAGCTTTAGCATCACCCTTTAATGAGAAATAAAATAATTTGAGAATAAAGTAATAACGAGTTTTCTCATCATGTGTAAAAGGGGTGGCTATATCATTCAACTTAGTAAGATGTGCCACAACAGTTTCAGTTTGATAACCATGGAAAGGATCAGATTCAACCAAAGTAATTAACTCTGGGTTGACAGAGAATTCATAATCTTTATCATCAATACAGATAGGTGAAGTAGCAAACTTCGGATCACATTTCATTCTAGCATTCAGAGATTTTTCTTTATACTTGTGTAGTAATTTCTCTAGATCATCTCTATCATTACAAGCAAGAATATCTCTTGTTGCTTCTTCACTCATAACATAACCTTCCGGTACCTTAGGCAATTCATATCTAGGAAGGCTAGTTCTAGTAGGTGTTTCAGGAGTTTCAGTTTCAAGCTCATCATCGGATTCAACAACATCATGTTGTATAACTCTAGCAATTTGTTTATCAAGAAATTCACTAAGTGACACATCATCATTATCAAGCAAGGTACTAGCATCATCATAAGCATCATTCATAGTAGAAGTGGCATCATCAATAACTTGCAACATATCAAAATTAATAGCATGTGGTGGTGTTGCAATTTTACTCATAACAGAAGGTGAATCTAAAGCAGAACTGGATGGCAGTTCCCTACCTCCCCTCATCTTAGAGGGATAAATCTTAGTCTTTGGATCCTTCAGATTCTTCATAGTGATAATATGATAATAATCTCAAGTGACTCAACAAATATAGCTATACTCCCCGGCAACGGCGCTAGAAAAAGGTCTTGATAACCCACAAGTATAGGGGATCGTAGCGGTTTTCGAGGGTAGAGTATTCAACCCAAATTTATAGATTCGACACAAGGGGAGACAAAGAATATTTGAAGGTATTAGCAGCTGAGTTGTCAATTCAACCACACCTGGAGATTAATTATCTGCAGCAATATGATCAGTAGCATAGTAATATGATAGTTTTGATAGTAGTGACAGCAGCAACGGTAACAGTAACAGTGATAGTAGTAATTTGTAGCAAGTGTAATAGTGATGATAGCAATAGTAACTTAGCAGAAACAATATGGAAAAGTTCATGGGCATTGGATCGGTGACTTGTTGGATAATATTCATCATGAGATAGTTATAACCTAAGGCGATACGACACTAGATCCAGTTCGTCGATATAATGTAGGCATGTATTCCGTAAATAGTCATACATGCTTTATTAGAAGAACTTGCATGACATCTTTTGTCCTACCCTCCCGTGGCAGCGGGGTCCATATTGGAAACTAAGGGATATTAATGCCTCCTTTTAATAGAGAACCTGAACAAAGCATTAACACATAGTGAATACATGAACTCCTCAAACTACGGTCATCACAGCGAGTGGGCCCGGTTGTTGTCACTCCGGGGTTGCCGGATTATAAGCGTAGTAGGTGAATATAACTTGCAAGATCGGATCTAAAACATGGATATAATGATGAATTCATAAATGGTTCCGATCTGAAATCATTGCACCCGGGCCCAAAGTGACAAGCATTAAGGATGTCAAAGTCATAGCAACATCAATCTAAGAACATAGTGGATACTAGGGATCATGCCCTAACAAAACTAACTCGATTACATGATGAATCTCGTCCAACTCCTCAGCGACCAGCGAGCCTACGAAGGAATTAGTCACTCCCCGTGAGGAGCATCATGGAATCGACGATGGAGATAGGTTGGTGATGACAAAGATCGAAGATCCCCCTCTCCGAAGCCCCAAACGGACTTTAGATCTGCCCTCCCGAAAAAGAACAGGGCATGGCGGCGACTCCATCTCGTGGATCGCGATAATTCTTTCTCCCCTATTTTTTCTGAAATAATGTAATTTTATAGTATCAACGGGGTCATCAGCGGGGCCGCCAGGTGGGTACAACCCACCTGGGCGCGCCAGGAGAGGGGGGCGTGCCCTAGTGGGTTGTGCCCACCCAGGGGCCCCTCTCTGGTGGGGCTTGGCTCCAGAAATTCTTATTATTGGTACAAAAAATCCTCAAAAAGTTTCGTTCCATTCCGAGAACTTTTATTTCTGCACAAAAACACTCCATGATAGTTCTGCTAAAAATAGCGTCAGTCCGGGGTTAGTTTCATTCAAATCATACAAATTAGAGTCCAAAACAAGAGGAAAAGCGTGAGAAAAAGTAGATACGTTGGAGACGTATCAACGCCCCCTCAAGTGGCACTCTGTATGTTCTCTTCACCTATCAATGAAATGATACGCAACGATGTGTATTGACGGGAAAAAACGGGTACATATGCAAATGGTCAACATATTTCTTATACACCTTACACATTTTCAAATACAAGATCAACATCTTTTAATACATGTTAAACATTTTTTTCAAATGCTTTGTTAATTTTTTTCAAATATAAGTTTAACATATTTTTACTAGATGGTCAACATTTTTTTTGTACACATTTAACAATTTTCAAATAGAAGTTCAACATTTTTTAATACATGGCCAGTATGTTTTCTATACACATTTAACATTTTACAAGTACAAGTTCAATATTATATCAATACATGGTCTGCATATTTTCCATACACATTCACCATTTTTCAAATGAAAATTTAATATTTTTCTATACACATGTAACATTATTCAAAGACAAGTTTAACACTTTTTATTAAATGGTCAACATTTTATATATACACATTTAAAAATTAAAGTTTAACATTTTGACTATTTTTTAAATGCTTGGATTTACATTTTTAAATACATGGTCAAAACAAATATACACATTTCATGTTGTATAATTTTATATACATTTTTTGTATACGTGATAAAGATTTCTGTATATGCATTTAACATTTTTCAAATTCTTGGTCAATATTTTTCAAATATCTTTGTACAGTGTTATTTTATATAGTATAAACAAAAGTTAAAAATAAAGTAAAAAAGAACACAAAACACTAAAGTATGAGGCTGTGGCCTTTCGCGCTTCTAGGCCGGCCCAATTGGCTCTCCCCTTCAGCAAGGATTCCCTCGCTCTCGCAGAATGTAAGATACTAGTGGTTGGGGCGCCACCCTGTGGCGCCGTTTAAGAGTAAGTTTTACAAACGTTTTTATTTAAAAATTATACATAGAGTCCTCGTTTCTGTTTAAAAAAATATTCCAGAAAAAAAATCCTCGTCTTCATCTAAAAATGGTAAAAAAGAAAAATTTTACTACCGCAACCTACCAGCGAGTGCCACTTTGCATAACCCTCCATTTAAAAATACTAGAGGTCCTCATCTCCGTCTAAAAAAAATACATATAAAAATAATCCACACCTTCATCTATTTTTTTAAAAGAGTACTCACCGCGATCAACGAGCTTGCCCCACATGGCATAGCTGATTGATCGCCCTTCCAACGTAGTTTAATGAGCTCCCCAGTTAAAGCACCATTCTTAATATACTAAACCTGACCAGGTTTGATTTACCATATTTTTTAGACTTTTTCCTATCAGTGAAAATCTGGCCAATCAAGATGCGACACGATAAATAGCGAGGGATATGACGGCGTGCGCTCTGTGGTCGACCTAGCGATGCGTTTTTGGATATATTTTATTCTGGTCAATCTGATTTGTCGGGGGGCACGCAGTGGTGATTTTCGATTTTTTTTTCTCTGCTAGGTTCATGCGGGCCGCTTAGATCGTAGTACTAGGGTCGTGATTGCGTGGCCGGATTGATTCTTTCCTCTCAAACCTCTCTACGTGTCATCTACTAATATGCTATCTGGAAGCGTCTTGTTGAATCTACATAGCTCCACCACCGCCATAGATCGCGTATAAAAGGGGGTGAGTTGCTGCCCGCTTCTTCCCCACCGTCGCGCCTTGCTCTTCCACTAGCACTTTGCCACCATATAAAAGGGCAAGGGCTCGATTCCTTTCAATCGCTGGTCTGCCCCCGCCATTCTAGCTCAACCATGGGTCGCCGAATTCCCACTTTGCCACGACCGTGCCTCGCCTAGGCCGCCGTCAGGCCCTGGCTTGGCCGACCGGCCCTTTCCATCGTGGTCTTCTCCGGCGCGGCCAATCGGCTGATGGCGTTGCGGTTGTCCATGCAGGCGTATTATCAGCATGCAGATTGTGGCCGGCTGGTGGTGTGCGTCACCGTGCAGGGATAGAATCGCCGGGGATGCAGTCTCGTCGCTGCCATCATGCTCGAGGAAACATGGCATTTACCATTATCTGCACCGCCCGCAGGCAGCTCCGGCGGAGGCCACACGCTTGACCCAGGCAAAGATCTCCATCGCTGTGGCCAACAATGCGTCGGCGCGGTCGGCGCGGTCACCGCTTGCGTCCAAGCAGGAGCACACACTGGAGTCCAGACTCCAGAGCTCCCGCAGAGCACGCCTTCGCGAAATACTGTGCGGCAGCTGTCTCTTCCTCCTCTCTGTGTTGCGTCCGTGCCTCTGGCCTGACGCGTCCTGCTGCTGCTTCGCGTATCTGCATGGCATGGGTGATGTTGCTGCCTCCTGTGTGGTGTATAGCCTTGATGTGTGCGGGCCAACCAACTCGCCGGCGACGTGCTCAACTCTACATGGAGATAACCACGTCTGCTTGGCGGTGGCTCTCCACGCTAGCGCCCGTTCCTTCTTCACCCGACGACGATGGTAGCGCCGTGATCGCATAGCCAGCGGCCTTCCACAACGAGCGGCGCGTCGATCACACCCGAGGCCGCCCTGCTAACCGTCTTGTCGCCAACGACGCCAATGATCGCCGCGCGCTCGCCCACGGAGGGCACCCAGTGCAGCCCTACACCGTTCCACGGTCATGCAGCGACGACGGCTGCACCAGACCAGCCCAGAATACTGCTGCTCCTCGAAGTCGCAGTTCGAGGGGCGCTACAGCGGACGGAGACGTCGACGACTTGGTATGCGGTGCAGAGCAGGGGGCGTGGCGCCAGCGGAAGGAGACCGTGTTGGCGTCGTGGACATGGCGGCTGTCGAGTAACGTGATTGTATTAGGAAACATATGTTAGACTAGAAAATATTTTAGCTTGCCTTGTATTCGAAGTAGATTGTGTACTTCTATATATATGCCCACGAGGCTCAAGCAATACAATAAACTATTTCATCAATCCTTTCTCTCTTCTAACATGGTATCTATCGCAAGTCGATCCTAAATTCTAGCCGCCGTCGCTTCTGCAACCGCGCCACCCGGGGCAGTCGGCCTCCATGACCGTCGTCGAGGGCCGCGCCGCACGTATATAGAGTTTGTCCGCCGGTCGTGTTGACCGGCTGCCTTAGACAGTCTTTTTCCCGAGCCTTGCTCTAGGGTTTTTCTCTCTCTCGCCGGTCATCTTGATCGCACAATGTTTTTTTGTTTTCCGATCTATTCTTGATCGGTTTGCGTCGCCCACCGCCGCCGTCGACTCCAAGTGCATCTACTCCGACCCCGGCGCGACCAGCAGGTCTCTCCTCTAACCCGGCGGCCACGCGCATCAGGGCCAGCGGCCGTCCGCGCGTCGGTCTACCCGTCGCTCTGCGCCGGCCGTCACCGCCCTAGTCCGACCGGAACACCTGCATCGCCCTGACCCGGCATCCTCGCGCCATGCGACGGCAAATCATAGCCGTCGCTCGCGCGCCGGCCCGCTCATCGATCCAAATCACCCGCCTTCGCCGCGTCTGCATGGTGGCCCGGCGGTCTACCTCGCCGGCCTTGTCCTCGACTACGTCGGGACGACTGCGTCGGCTGCCTCAACTCGGGCGCCGCTGCTCCGTTGGTCACTCGGGCCTCGCTGCCCGGGTGCCGGTGTTGCTTTGGCAGCCCACGTGCTGGTGCTGACAAGTTTTTCCGCACGACGTCCCATGCTGTCTGTCGTCGCCAGCTTCATCTCGAACTCCGCCGCCACCATCCCTCCACCGAGCGGCGTCCTCGACCTCACGCGCGATCAGCTTGATCACCCGCTCATCACCGCGATCCACTTCATCTACGCCGCGCGACTGACCTAACCCGTCGGTTACGCGCGTCTCCGCAGGTCCCGTGAAAATCGTCCTCGAGTTCAGCACACCTCTCCACCGATCGAGCATCGGGCTGCCGTTGCGTCGCCCCGTCGGGTCACAGTGTCGCCGTCCCGTGGTTCTTCTTGCGGCTGCATCGACTCGTGCGTCGTCCTTTGAGCCGTAGTGTCACGAAAAGCGGTCCCCGCCGCCGCCCCGAGGCCGTCCCTGCGGTTGGACCGACTCGCGAACCGCGGCTGTGTCTCCCCTTCGGGCCGCAGCGTCGCGGCCCACGGTCCCCGCCGCCGCCCAGAGGTCTTCTCGCCGTCACCCCGACCCGCCTGCCGCCGCTGCGTCGCCCCTACGGGTCGTAGCGTCGCGGCCCGCGGTCCGCTCCACCGTCACCGCGCGTCGACCTCCCGGCGCCGGGCCGTCTTTCTTGACGCGGGAACGCCACCGCCCGTGCCGGTCTTTGTCACGCTGTCAGGGTTCTTCACCTACTTCGAGCATCGCCGCCGCGCTTCTAACCTGGTCGCCGCCGCCGTCAGGCTGTCGCCGCCGCTCTTCTTCGTCCGCCGCCGCCACTACCCCCGTAGCCGTCGCAGCCACCCGTCCACCCCCTTTGTCTTCGTCCAGCACCAGCCCGTCGCCAGTGTTGCCGTCATCTACCCTGACCACTTCATCTACTCTGACAACCGCGGGTGACATTGGCCCCACGCTGATTGGTGCCGCAACCGTCGTCGAGTCCTTCTCTGCTGGCCTCTCCAACTTCTTCGACATGGCGTACAGCTCGTGCAGGTCCCAATCTACGCATGCCCGGTGCTGGCAACACCGATGCGTGCCTTCGTCCACGACGTGTCCCCGGGCCTGGCAAGCCTGGTGCGGCGCTTCGTCAACTTCGTCTTCGTCCGTCTATGCATGCCCGGTGCTGGCAACACTGGTGCGTGCCTTCATCTGCGATGTGTCCCCGGGTTTGGCAAACCTGTCGCGACGCGTCATCAACAACATCTCCTTACCGGCGCACCACTACTTCGCCACCACTGCGCCCATGCTACCTCGGCGCCCCCTTGCGCCTGCGGCTCCACGGCGACTTCCTCCACACCGGCCACCCCGACTCGACATCAACCACGGCATTCTTCGCACGACTACCTCGACCACGGCTCCACCACCCACGCTCTCAGCTACATCGACAAATGGTACAAAGGGTTACCGCCTGCTTGAGCAACCTCGTTGGTTTCCACTCCAGCCACGACTCCGCGATGCGTCGACCGTTACGATGGTGGGGGGTGTCCGTCTGCTTGCCTTCGGATTTTTCTCCAGTCTCACCGTCTGCGTCGCTACTGTTGTGGCTGTGGGGGGATGTTGAGTAACGTGATTGTATTAGAAAACATAGGTTAGACTACGAAATATTCTAGCTTGCCTTGTACTTCAAATAGATCGTGTACTTCTATATATATGCCCACGAGGCTCAAACAATACAACAAACTATTCCACCAATTCTCTCGCTCCCTTCTAACAGCGGCCGTCGCAAGCAGAGCCCCGCTGTGTCTGCCCGGAAGTTTACCACGACCAGCGCGCGGGAGCATTAAGCACTCCGTTGTGGGCACCATGTCGGCGGCGTCCCCTAGCACCATGCATGTAAAATACTCCACGGAGGGAGTATGTAATAGGAGTAGTTTTTATAGTAAACAGATGAAGAATGGGCAGTTGCGACACCTCGCATCTCGATCGCCGGCCGCCTCTATGCTATAGGAGCTATGCATATGTATCATGCTCGCGGCCTCTCTGAATTTAGAATATATGAATAGACCATAAATGATCGGTGTATACATCCGTTAGTTCAACTAGCTAGCTACTCTCTTCGTCCCATAATATAAAACGTTTTTACAAGCTAACATCGCATGCAAGTCTTTGTTCAGGTGTGTGTAGCTCGGTGCTTAGCTCTTTTGGCTTTTCTATATGAGACAATTTCATTTCTCCCCCTAACTTGAGCCACCACCTGGCATTTGCCCCTAATTTTCAGGTATGCTCAAAAATACCCCTCTTCCATCAAGTCACCTTATAGAAATGCCCTTGTCGTCCGGTCAAAGGGCTTTGACCGTCTAGTGAATAGTAACATGGTGAACATTAAATTTGAAAAAATAGCAAAAAAAAATCAAAAAATCTGAAATTTTGTTGGCTCGAAGATACTCAAGGGCGCAAGGTGCGTACAAATTTTCAACCTATTTGGACATTCCAGGAACTCGTGGGAAAGGAAAAAATGTAAATCTATACGCTGTGAACAGTAAATTAAAAAAAATAGCAAGAAAAATTTAAAAAGTATGAATTTTTTTGGCATCAAAGAGGCTTGGGTGCGCAAGGCGCTTGCAATTTTTTTTATCAAATGACATGCGAGGTGCTCTCGCAAAAAAAACAAAATAGTGCATTTTTCAGAGTTTTTTTCTGCGCCAAATATAGTTTTTTTCTCCACGAGCTCCTACAGTGTCGAAACACAACAAAAATTTTCACGCACCTTGCGCACCCCAGCCTCTTTGATGCCAAAAATTTTCATATTTTTTTGAATTTTCTTACTATTTTTTTTGAATTTACTATTTACAGCATACATTTTAAAGTTTTTCCTTTGACACGAGCTCCTGGAATGTCCAAATTGTGCCAAAATTTGTACGCACCTTGCTCCCTTGAGTATCTTCGATCCCACAAAATTTCAGATTTTTTTGATTTTTTTTGCTATTTTTTTCGAATTTACTGTTCACCATGTTACTATTCATCGGACGGTCAAACCCCTTTGACCGGACGGTAACGGCAGAAAAGGGCATTTCTGTAAGGTGACTTAACGGAAGAGGGGTATTTTTGAGCATACCTGAAAATTAGGGGTAAATGCCAGGTGGTGGCTCAAGTTAGGGGGATAAATGGAATTGTCCCTTTCTATATATACGGTGCAGCCGGTTTCGACTTGCATGTGTATTCTGAATTTAGAAAATATGAATGTTTGTCTTCTTGGGAAGTGCCTGTAGAAATTTGGATCTGAAGATGCAACTCACGTACTGCAGAAAAAATTTCTCAGTAGTCAGACTTTGTCACAATCCAAAGAAGGACCTAGGCACTCATAATTTTGGAACTCCCTCATTGGATTTAAAGACCTGTTATTTTCTTTCTATACAAGGAAAATTGGCATCCCACCAGATTCTTGGAGGATCTGTCGATGGGAGTGGTTTTTCAGCTCTGGGTGCCCCTACACCTAGGGGTGCAGAGCGGCGCCCGGTCAGACCCACTCCACATGCAAAGCAGATTTACTTTAGTTATAGTTGCTTCTCTCAGATTTAGTTCAATTTAAACTAATTCTGTACTTATGCGGGATTTCGCAGGATGCCCGCTTGCATCCCTCTACACCCCTTATGAACAGTAAATTCAAAAAAAAATCTGAAACTTTGCAACGTCAAATAGATTCAGTGGATTGGCTGTAGGGAGTCCAAAAAGCAGAACTAATTTTGTTTCTACATCACACCTACCTTCTAAAGGAAAAAGTCTCTTCCAAAGAACAATACTTTTGTCTTTACATCACACCTATCTTCTATATTGAAAAATATGCTCAAAGTTTAGCTCTCTAAGTAAAAAATACAACCAATTTTGGTACTTCCTAGAAGATTTGTTACCTCCATTACATTCTCATGGCACAAAAAAAGAGGCCACTTGGCTATAATTTTTCCCAAATTACACAATACCATTACTATTAAAACATTTCAATCTTTCTAGCCAACATCTTTTCCGACAATTTAGAATCTACGCATTATTTTAAACTTTAGCCTCTTTTTGGCCCGTATAAAAAGAATAAGCACTGAATATTCCAAAAGGCGAGTGCACTTTCTATGTACAAGACCGTTCATGCAATAACAAAGCTAAGCAAGGTCTTTTTTTTTTGCGGGGAACTAAGCAAGGTCTTACAAGAAAGAAGTTGTGAACCAGGGTATCCTTCTCCATCTGTTGCCCCCTTAAATTAATTGTTCTTCTGTTACAGTTACATGCTTCCAATCACCATTTTAAACAAAATAAGCACAAGTACCTGAGACAGTCCAATATACAAACAAGAATATGAAAAAAAAACATTAAAAAAACTCACCAACAACTGAGAAATATCTATATACAATATAATAAATAAATTCTGCAATATAATAACATAAACTATCATCTACAAGCAGACACTACTACGTTGTGAAGAAAAAAAATCCTTGCCAACATAACAATGCTCAACAAGGTCAATTCACAAGGCAAACTAAAATGTTGGCAACCATATGTGGCAATGTTTCGAATATCATACCACTCCATATATTACCGTATTGTGAACCGACTGATGATCCAATCAGTTCTTACACTGGCGCTAAGCCACCTGTAGGTCGAGTGCAACAATTTGCAAAAGCTCTGTATTATTTCATTATAAAAATCAATCCTGCAGGAGTCTACAATAGAACGATATAAATTGTGAATGAATGTAATGTGTTTAGTCTTGCTAGAAAGAAATGACAATGTATACTTTCCATCTTGCAAGATGTATCACTCATGGTGATGATAAATGCATCCTTTCAGAATTTTTTATGTACATAGCTTACTCTCTTATTTTTCATCAAATGAGCCAAAAATAGAATATAGACACGTATTGTATCGATGGGCGCGGCGGCAAGGATGGCTAGTTGGGAACTAAACACTTAGAACTAAACACCGCTTTCCCTAAAACAATGCTCCGCATATAGACTAACAACCGTCTATTACTATTTGTCAAAAAAAAGACAACAACTGTCTATTACTAGGGGCGTGTCTATAGCTCGCTTATAGCACGGCAGACTGTCGCCTAGCGTGATGCGGCATGGTCACTGGCCGGCCCAGTAACGTTGTTTGTTTGATTCATTTCCTTATCATTTGCTTCGTTTCATATTTTCTTTTTCTCCTTTATCACTTTTTTATATTTTTCAAAAAAGTAAATACATATATTTCACAAAAATTACTTTAGTTTAGAAACAAAATAAGTTTTTCAGTGTTAATAAATGTTGACAATGTATAAAAAATGATGCAATACATATTTAATTTTTTAAAACATGTATACGAATTTGTTTCTCAAAATCATGCATTTAAAAAATGTCAAACTTATTTCAAATAAAATTTTCAGATATATATGAAAAATGTAAAATGTGTATGAAAAAAAAGCAGACAGCAAACATGTATTTGAAAAGAATGTTAAATCTTATGTTTAGAAGTGTTAATATGTCTTTATAAAATATCAATCAGGTACTTGGAAAATGTTAAGCATGTATGATAAAAATATTTCTTATGTATACAAAAATGTACAATCTGCATGAAAAAATGTAGACATCAAAACATATATCTAAAAAACATTAATCATGCATTTAAAAACATTAATCATGTATATGACTTTTCTTCTTATGTATACAAAAAATGTACAACCTATATGAGAAACAATACACACCAAAACATATATTTGAAAAATAAATGTTAATCATGTAAAAAAATGATAAACGTGCATAAGAAAATGTTCCTACTATATATGAAAAATATACAATGTATATGACAAAAGTAGACCTCAAAACATATAGTTTTTTAAAATGTTAAATATGTATTTAAGAAATGTAAACGTGTGTAATAGAATGTTGCTGATGTATAAAAAATGTGTGTAAAAAGGTAAAGAAACAAAAGAAAACCAGAAAAAACAAAGAAATCAGAGTAGAGAAATAAAATTAAAAAAAACGAATAAACTAAAGAAAAAGATGCAA